TTTTTCGAGTAGGGTCTTGGACACTTCGTCCGGAGTGGTCGTATGTGGCCTCCACTCCCAGTGTCCCCCCTTTGACTTTCCGGATCCCTTGCCTTTGCGACCTTTCTTGCTCTTCCACGATCCTTTGTGTGATCTCTGGTGATTGAGAGCGCCAATGTCCTCTCCAATCTTCGTGTCTGGGACTTCTGCTCCTGGTCCTGCGTCTCTCGTCACGTTCGTCTTCTCGGCATCTGTCCGGGTCTGCCGATTTCAAAGTGCTTTCCCTTCTCTTTTATCGCTCTTCTTCTTCTTCTTCACTATCTTCAGATTGCAAGTCTTTCCTGCTCTGTTCCTGGACTCGTTGATCTTCTTCGTCGTCATCATGACTATCTTCTGATTCATCCTGGTCTCCATAGTCAGCCTCTGGCTGATCGGTATCTGACCTTTCTTCCTTCACTTCTGATTTCTTTTCTGACCTTGGCGGGGCATTCGCGGTGGCAGCTTCTGCTGTCACCTTGCCGCTCTCACCTTTCGACTTTCTCTGTTCCAAAGTCTTTGCAATCCTCCGTTGCATCCTCAGCAGAGCTTCGTCATCCAGCTCGTCAAGTTGCGCTTTGTTTGATGGCTCTGGAGACCTTGACCTCTTTCCTTCTTCTTAGGCCTCGATGCCATTGCTCTTGCTGGAGATTCTGATGTCCTCCCGTTGAAGTCTCCGACGGTTTCGATCCTTGTCTTGTTCCTCGCTCCTTCGCTTCTTTTTGCTCTCACCTCGATATCCCTTTTCAGGGTCATCCGTCTGTCTGCGCTTTGGAACGTCTTCTGGATCTGATTGTCCTCTCATATCTCCTTCCCCTAGGGGTCGTCCTTTGGTCGGGATTCCTTTGGAGGACGTCTTGGTTCCGCAGGCTTTGTTGTCTTCTTCAGTTTGCCTCTGTGGTCATCGAGTACTGCATTCTCCCATGCCACAGATGGTCTTCTATCTTCTTCACGTGCTTCTTGTATCGTTCATTCTTTGTCCATCGTTCATCTGGCTTGCCAGGGAAGTCAGTTGTGATGTTTTCTTCCGTCAGATGCTTCTTGTGGACAGATCGGGACACCATCTCCGATTTGAGATGCTTGTGGATCATCTCAGCCAGTGCCACGCTGAATTTGATCCCGTAGGAGTCCACTATCAGGAAAAACTAAGTTTTCTCTGCTGTCTTTGGGTCGGCCAATAGGTCCGCGAGTCTATGGCTCAATAGTTTGATTTGGTTTTGATTCATCCGTCCTCATAGATCACCTGGTAACCTGGTATGTCTCCGAATCGCTACTGGAATTGACCCGCTGTTCCTGTTTCGAGAATTTGCGGAGATCCACAAAAACATATTCTGGCTCATTTTCGCACCACAATTTGTGGACTGCTTTCTTGTTGGCTCCATTGTGATGCCAGCCCGCTGTGGTGCAGATCTCTGCACCTATCCCGTCTGCATCTGACCATCGCCTCTCCATTTCGTCTGAACGTCTCCTGAGAGCTATGTCGATGTATCTCTGGTTGCTCTTCAGACCTCCGGTGGCCCTCTCTTTCCACAGCTTTGTGTCCTCTTGATCTTCGTATCCCATGGACACCTCCCAGAGCTCTGGCTTCGTATCAGCCATTAGAGCCATCTCTCCGGTGCCGGTCGGCGCGTCGAGTGACCCTGAAATGGCTGCGGATTGAGACATTCATGAGTGTGTTTGTGTTTACATCAACTCCATGGTCAACATTCTCACTGTCCACGTGGTCATGTTCTGATGAAGTATCAAGTGTGTCAGAGATATCAGCCCATCGGTCCTTGGGTGACTTCTCTACGTCCTTGTCCTCAGCTTCTTCACCATGAAGGTCGCCATATGGCATGGCATGGCACATCCTGCTGGGCTGTGCGAAGTGCTCGATGTACTCTTCGCTCCCCCATCTGAGATGTTCCAAGAGTCTGGGAAGTGCTGAACGTCTTTCCAGGACGCGTGACGTGTCACCGATCTCGATGCACAGCAAGCCATTCTGATCCCAATGCATAACTGGATTGACGCATCATTGTCTGTCAAGTAACGTGTTGCATCACGCGTGTTCTTGACCAATCCAAGCGTTGACTGATTTCCCAGGGGCAAAAGGAGTGGCACAAATCCATCATGCCCCAGCTCTTGTGAATCCAGCACACCCGCAACCGTGGGTCTCATTGGCCCACAATGAATGTTGAATGGAAACCTGAAACAGTGCTTGGTAATGATCGGTGCTTTGCCAACACCATGATACTCTCTTCTGGAGTCAAATCTTTCGACCACAAAACCTTCGTCCAGGTACTTTGTCTCTGAGTTCTTTTCACATCTTGCTGTGGCATGCGGTGTTGCATCCTTCGTCCAGGAGGGCCCAAACACTTGGATCTGCCATGATGTCCACTCGTCTCAGCGTCTTGATGGCTGGACCCTTGTAATTCAGGCATCTCCATGAATGGATAGCCATGAATGCTGATCTTCTGGGCTCTAATCTCTGTATCGGGACATCAATTGCATCCTTCAATGCGTTAATTAATTCGGTGGGCTTGATCTTCTCGGACAGTTGATGTACATATCCACCCAGCCTTTCAACACAGATCAACGCTTCCTCTTTGGTGAGTTGCATGTCTTCCTGGCTCACCAACCTTCTGGATGCATCAACGATTGCAGGAGTGCTCTTCGTGTCCATCTCCTTGAGCACAATCTTCTTCTCATGTTTTTCTTGCTGTGGGATCTCTGAGATGAATGTTGTACATTGGAGACAAAATGTCCTGGATGTGGTCTTACTTGGCCCTCTGTTGTCTGCTGTCTGGTGTGGGCAAACATCTGGCTGATACAGCTTCATGAGCTCCTTCTTTGTTCTGGTTCTTCTGCCACACTTCTTGGACGTTTTGATCTCATAAGTTGCATTTGTACCGACGTATGACATGTTCTTGCATCCACCTTCACATCCAGGTCGTTCCTCCGGCCCTCCGGAAGATCTCTACACGACATTTCATAGATAGCATCTGTGTCTGGCCAGGCTGCTCTTGCCTTTGGCTTCAGCCTTCCACGAATGATCGATCTCAAAGCATGACGTCAACCATGCTTTGAACAACTTCTCTTCATGTGGTCCACGATGAGGCTTTCCAGTGTCCTGCATCCTTGTTTGCAAAACGGGTGATCATGTACTACCTTGTCAAGAGATGTTCCTCGGTGGTTGCCTGTCCTGAAGACCGTATCCTTCAGTGGCATTCCTCTCATAGGTGACTTCAGCTTCAGCAGGTGTTGATGGTGCAGACTCCGCTGCTGTCACTTGGGCTAAGCGTGGATCTATGCCCATTCTTGCTGCAGCTCTCCTGGCATCTGAACCGACGGCTTGTTCCTCATCTGAAGATATCTGGATAAAGCTATCTGCTGAGTCTGGTGATGATGGCCCTTTCTGTGATGCTGCTTTGTGAGTCTTCTTCTCCTTTGACTCTTTCCTGACAGCCATGAAAATCGTGTCGTCATGGTCTGAATTTGACAAAATCAATCCTTAACGCTTGTGGCTCAACTACCTTTGGTGTGGCAAGACTTGTGGCAAGATTAGCCGTTTGTTTACGCTTTGGACATGCGTTGTCACCTGCCCATTAGTGTCCAACCCGCCCGCAGGCTTGACACTTTGTCTTGGCTTTCAACTCCTGAAATTTCTTCCTGCGATCTTCCAGGCTCAAGTCTCCTGGCTTGGCATAGTTGTTTCCCTTGCCTTTTCCATATCCTTTGCTTTTACCATAGCCTTTTCCTTTCATTCCTTTGGACATGCCTTTCTTTCCTTTTCCATACCCCTTGGATTTGCCCTTTCCCAGGTAGGCATGTTGATCCTGTTTGGAGAGGTATGCTGACTGCATTTCCAGAGAAATTTGCTCACCATCTCCTTCCAGGCTGGTGTGCTTCCTTCGTCCCGGGAAGTTGCATCACCATACCATGCTGTCCATTCCGTCCAGTCTTCATCAGGATATTCCCAGTCGTGACCCATGGGTCCTGAGCGTCGTCTGTATACCATGCATACAGCTCATCTGCATGCCATGATTCCTCTGCATACTCATCTGCTTCGTAGTCAGCAGTAAAGTAAGCTTCCTCAGGGTACCATTCCTGCCACTGGTCTCCTCGGCCAGCACCATAGTATGACCTTCTCCAACCGGTCATTCTTCGATCAGGAGCTTTGATCGAGTGTGCAAGCGCATGTTGCTTGACCAGAAGTCATTGAATGTGGATGTCATGATCATCAACTTCTCGTTGAGTGAGAGGTTTGCATGGTCCAATAACAGGTCTCCTCTCACCTGGTCACTCAGCTGAATCGCTTTGTCCAGGTTGCGCGGCATGTCATACCATCTCCTTCTACGTGAGATGTAGCTGATCATCGTTTCTCCACTTTGCTTGGACAAGATACCTGGCCGCAGTCCAGCCTTGAAGAGTTCTCTGGCCTCTGCACTCCCCAACGGGAAGATGTGCTCTCCTTCCTTCTTGGCCAGCTCCACAAGTCCAAGAGATATGGCAACCTTCAGAGATTCACCGGTGAGACCTTCGGTGATTTGCTGGCCAACTTCCACTTTTCATCATCATCATCAGTGGCATGATACCGTGCCATCACACGGAATTCCCATTCAAAGAACCCAGCTGGTGTACCATCGTAGACTGGTGCACCCTGCTTTGACTCTTGGGATTTCTTGCCCACGTGCTTGCAACGCAACGTGGCAAGTCCCAGCACGTAACGCTGGTGGCTGTGGATTTGAGTTGGACAGAGTCCCTCTCAGTGCTAGCATCTGGGTACCTCAAAAGGCACAGCTGGAGCTTCGTAAAGCAGCTCCGCTACCAATGTGAAATGCGTTAGCTTTTGACCCAAGGCGCCTGCGGCAGTCGAGGTTACCTGTATTAGGCAGCGCAAACTTGTACCAAAACACAGCGCACTATACACTGGGTGCATTTGCACAATCTCAAGCCAAGGCTGGAACTGGATCAAAAAGACTTGGAGCGACTTGCAGGCAAGAAACTTGGTGTCGCCGTAAGGACATGTTGGCTGCAACTCTGAGTCTTCGGAGATCTTCTCTGACGAGGGCTTGTAAACAGTGCAGGAGCTGGACAAAAGAACACGGTTCGAAACCTGGTACTTCTCCAGAAGATGCATCAGGTTTACAAAGCCACCGACATTGTTGTCCCAATACATGTCAGGTTTCTGCATGGATTCTCCCACCGATTTGTAACCGGCAAAATGAAGCACGGCATCGCACTCCTTGACACCGGCGAGAACATCCTCTAGCATCTTCACATCGCAAAGGTCCACCTGGGGATTTCAAAGCAAAAATTGACTAATGGATCCCTGTGTGCATTCTGCAAGGTAGTTGTGCCAACTAAACCGTTTACAAACACGGCCTTATACTACAAAATGCTGCCTTTATCTGGACCAACCCCCCTTGCTACAAAATGCTTTGGGGGTTTTGATGTTGGATCAAAAGCCAATGTGGATCACTACAAAATGTATTTGTGTAACCATTTTGTAGTGAAAAACGGGTTGCAGTGACAAAACATGATTATCTACTAAATGGTTTCTGGAAATTTCACTCTAAATCTTTGGTTCACTTTCCGGGGCCCAGGTCATAGCATTTGCCGGGCACAAGTAAATACAACCTTGGGATTTCCATCGGATATCAAGAATTGACTTTTCAAGAGGTTTTTACTACGATGCTCAGAGCTTTGGGGCCACAAAAACGATCTAAGCGCACAACTTCAAATTCAATTGATCGGGTTTGCACCAAATCTGTCCCATTTTTCCTTCTTAAAGTCTCTACATAAAAAGCATGTTTTTCGAACTTTTTGGGGCTTCTCTGGAAGGGGGACGTAGTAGGTTCTACAAAAGGTTGTGCACGCGTGTGTCACTACAAAATGCAGTGCATGACAAAAGTCATCCAGAAACTCAGACATCACGCATCGAATCTGTGCTTGTGGGTGAAAGGAACTCTGAACATGGATTCTTTGAACTTGGGTGAAACTTGACTATTGGACAAAAAGAGTAGGAACCTAGTAGAATGGGATACGTTTAGAGTTTAGATTACTCCGAACCGTTAAAGTCGACCAATTTAACAGAAGTGTGTCAAATCTCATTGGGACGCCGTTGGATCAGGAAGTCAAATAAGTTGACCAAAAGCAAGGTCAACCCCAATGGGACGCCGATGTACGACAAACTCTGTTTTGGCAAGTTTTGGTGTGTGAAAGATGAGGAAACACCTTGTGGACGCAACTCCCAAAACATCTTCCAAGTGGTGTTAAATACAACAAAAAACACTCATGTCATATTGGGACGCCAGTGATTCACCACATGTAGATTGCAAGTGATCACAAGAAAAGCTGCTTTTACCGGTTGGATTCTGTAGGGACACGGTTAGCTGTTTCGAACGACGTCCGAACGACGCATCGAACGACGTCAAAGGGTATCAAAACCCAGACCTTTGGATTCATTTGCTTTCATGTTCCTTTCATTCTCCTTTCATTTCCTCTCATTTCCTTTCATTGTCCTTTCATGCGATCATGAAAACATGGTATAGACACAACCTAAATACGAAGTCACACGAAGTCGCTGGCAATGCAAAACCCACGAAAAAGTCAAAACACTGAAAAAACTAACTTGCTAGACACAAGCTGGACGCAACATTGGTCAACTTTAGAAGTTGCGTGCGCGCAGCTGGGACGCTCATTTCATTGAAATCGTTCAACTTTAACAACTCAGAGTATGAATTATGATTGGTAATCGCATGTAATGGCCAAAATAGGTTTGACAAAAGCACGGCGCAGAGATTTTGAACTGCAATCGCCAGAGAGAATAGTGTGAATAGTCCTTTCCTAGGTTCGGGCTCAACGGCCCCGACGGGCCCGACGGGCCCAACGGGCCCAACGGGCCCAACGGGCCCAACGGGCTCCAACGGGCCCCAACGGGCCTGCTTCACGGGCTCAACGGGCCCGACGGGCACGACGGGCCCAACGGGCCCAACGGGCTCGACGGGCTCGACGGGCTCGAGAGGCCGTGGCGCTGAATGAACCCATCATCCCTTCTGGTGCTGGCGTTACACTTTACATTCAATTGGGAAGATCAACAACGGTACTGGGAATATAGATTCCCACCCCCGGCTAACTTAATATTCAATGGGGAAAATCAGCAAAGGTATTAGGAATTTAGAATCACATCTCTGTTCAACTTTACATTCAAGCAGGAAAATCAACAAGGGTAATTATTTGGCATATAAGTTCCCCGCCTGTGAATTTTACATTCAATTGGGAAGATCACCGATAGGTATTTGGAATATAAGCTCCCTTAGAAACATAATTGCACACCCTGCTTGAACTTTTAGATTCAAGTGGGAAGATCACCGCATGTATTAGGAATATAAAAAATCCCACTCTCGTTTGCTTTTTTGCTGTCGACTGGAAAGATCAAGAAGGGATGATGATGATGATGATGATGATGACGATGATGATGATGATGCTGACGCTTCGTTGCCCATCGTCGTTGCCCTGCCAGGCTAAACCCAGGCATTAGCCGTATTTCAACATATGTATATATACATATATAAATGTATGCATCTTGTATCTTTCTAATGCGTATACACACATAAATATTTATTTATTGGGTGACTGTTCTTTATGTATATCTTATACCTAAATACAGTACATCTGGTTGTAGATGAAAAATGTATGATCCCAGCACGCCATTGGGATCATGTTTCCAAGTTTCGTCGCTTTCCTGCTTCAGCAATCCATGGCTTTCTGTTCTTCATTTGGTTACAGATATTATTCCACCAGGTGTTGATTAGTTCGGCACCAGATGTTGACTACCAACCGGTGAAACAAAATCCTTCGCATCCACTCGGGGTATGATTTGTCAAGCGGTGCCGTTTGCCGATTCTACGATTCTTTCCTAGACAGCGGCCACAAAAAAAAAACCGTGCTTCGCTTCATCCCTTTGTGACGGCGTTATCTCACATATCCGCGTCAGCGCTGCCGGAACCAGCAAGTGAGCAGTATTCCTATATTACCCTAGATATCGGGGATTATCATCATCAATTTCTAAAAATCAGCCATAAAAAGGGATTAGCTAAAGCTTTCCAGCCCTGCTCAAATGAATATGGGATGGTATGGGTCAAACATTTTTAGATGTCCTGCTCCCCATGGGAAGCATGATGTGCTGCGCACGTGGGCCAAACGGCGCATGTTCTTTGACCCACACCAAACCGTCGGAAGGTGAAACTTTTGAAAACATAGCTTGGCGGCTTGGCAACATCCAAACTGGCAGACACGGAATCGTCCCATATAGATTTGCTGCCAGAAAAGTTGCTCCACAGAATGTGGCATGTACTGATCATTGTTTTAGTTTGGAACTTACATGATGATTCTTCCTTCTATCACGCAGGGATAAAGAATGTGGTTGCTAACATATCTGATTGGCACCCCTTCAAAAACCAAAAAAACAAATATGCATATCTGCTTCTATCTGCTTGACATGTCCGACCCAAATACAACGGCGGCCGCCCACCCGGCTTGTCAAACGCTGCCCGGCTCTCTACCTTTTCAAACAAAAAAATAGAGACAATCATCCCTGGCAAAGAGGCCCTAACAGCGTTGAGGAAAACATCTGTGAACAAAAACTCCAGGACCTCAAGCCAGGACCTCACTGAGAATTTCACACAGTCGTCAAAGAAGGACCTGCTAGAGGGATCTGAGAAGATCTTTGTACAAGAACCTCTTGAAGGCTTCCCTTGCAAACTTTCATACAAGCACCTTCTAGATCTTCACGCAAATATCCTTTAGAAGATTCCAGCAGGATGTGCGCAAGATCTCCTCACAAACACCTCTACAACAAAGGATTTCACTAGGATATCCACAAGATCTCCTCGCAAGGACTTCTACAAAATCAGGAATCTTCGAGGATCTCGACAGGATCCCTACAAGATCCCCTTCCAAGAACCTCATACAGCAGGACTGCCCGACTGCCCCAACGTCGGGCCCGACGGGCTCGACGGGCCCCAACGGGCCCGACGGGCCCCGCCTGACGGGCCTGACGGGCCCAACGGGCCCAACCCAGCAGAAGACCATGGCCCAGATCTATGGGGCGACAAAAACGATCTAAGCGCACAACTTCAAATTCAATTGACCGGGTTTGAAACCAAATCTGTCCCATTTTTCCTTCTTAAAGTCTCTACATTAAAAAAACATGTTTTTCGGACCTTTTGGCGCTTATCTGGAAGGGGGACGCAGTAGGTTCTACAAAAGGTTGCGCACGCGTGTGTCACTACAAAATGCAGTGCATGACAAAAGTCATCCAGAAACTCAGACATCACGCATCGAATCTGTGCTTTGTGGGTGAAAGGAACTCTGAGCATGGATTCTTTGAACTTGGGTGAAACTTGACTATTGGACAAAAAGTGCAGGAATCTAGTAGAATGGGATACATTTAGATTATGATCCGACGGGCCCGACGGGCCCCAACGGGCCCGACGGGCCCCGCCTGACGGGCCTGACGGGCCCAACGGGCCCAACCCAGCAGAAGACCATGGCCCAGATCTATGGGGCGACAAAAACGATCTAAGCGCACAACTTCAAATTCAATTGACCGGGTTTGAAACCAAATCTGTCCCATTTTTCCTTCTTAAAGTCTCTACATTAAAAAAACATGTTTTTCGGACCTTTTGGCGCTTATCTGGAAGGGGGACGCAGTAGGTTCTACAAAAGGTTGCGCACGCGTGTGTCACTACAAAATGCAGTGCATGACAAAAGTCATCCAGAAACTCAGACATCACGCATCGAATCTGTGCTTTGTGGGTGAAAGGAACTCTGAGCATGGATTCTTTGAACTTGGGTGAAACTTGACTATTGGACAAAAAGTGCAGGAATCTAGTAGAATGGGATACATTTAGATTATGATCGGTACTCGCATGTAATCGCCAAACTCGGTGTGACACAAGCACGGCGCAGAGATTTTGAACTGCAATCGCCAGATCTATGGGGCGACAACAACGATCTAAGCGCACAACTTCAAATTCAATTGATCGGTTTTGAAACCAAATCTGTCCCATTTGTCCTTCTCAAAAGTCTCTACATAAAAAGCATGCTTTTCGAACTTTTTGGGGCTTATCCGGAGGGGGACGCAGTAGGTTCTACAAAGGGTTGTGTCACTACAAAATGCAGTGCATGACAAAAATCATCCAGAAACTAGGACATCATGGTTCGAATTTGTGCTTTGTGGGCGAAAGGAACTCTGAGCATGGATTCTTGAGCTTGGGTGAAACTTGACTATTGGACAAAAAGAGCAGGAATCTAGTAGAATGGGATACATTTAGATTATGATCCGACGGGCCCGACGGGCCCCAACGGGCCCGACGGGCCCCGCCTGACGGGCCTGACGGGCCCAACGGGCCCAACCCAGCAGAAGACCATGGCCCAGATCTATGGGGCGACAAAAACGATCTAAGCGCACAACTTCAAATTCAATTGACCGGGTTTGAAACCAAATCTGTCCCATTTTTCCTTCTTAAAGTCTCTACATTAAAAAAACATGTTTTTCGGACCTTTTGGCGCTTATCTGGAAGGGGGACGCAGTAGGTTCTACAAAAGGTTGCGCACGCGTGTGTCACTACAAAATGCAGTGCATGACAAAAGTCATCCAGAAACTCAGACATCACGCATCGAATCTGTGCTTTGTGGGTGAAAGGAACTCTGAGCATGGATTCTTTGAACTTGGGTGAAACTTGACTATTGGACAAAAAGTGCAGGAATCTAGTAGAATGGGATACATTTAGATTATGATCCGACGGGCCCGACGGGCCCCAACGGGCCCGACGGGCCCCGCCTGACGGGCCTGACGGGCCCAACGGGCCCAACCCAGCAGAAGACCATGGCCCAGATCTATGGGGCGACAAAAACGATCTAAGCGCACAACTTCAAATTCAATTGACCGGGTTTGAAACCAAATCTGTCCCATTTTTCCTTCTTAAAGTCTCTACATTAAAAAAACATGTTTTTCGGACCTTTTGGCGCTTATCTGGAAGGGGGACGCAGTAGGTTCTACAAAAGGTTGCGCACGCGTGTGTCACTACAAAATGCAGTGCATGACAAAAGTCATCCAGAAACTCAGACATCACGCATCGAATCTGTGCTTTGTGGGTGAAAGGAACTCTGAGCATGGATTCTTTGAACTTGGGTGAAACTTGACTATTGGACAAAAAGTGCAGGAATCTAGTAGAATGGGATACATTTAGATTATGATCGGTACTCGCATGTAATCGCCAAACTCGGTGTGACACAAGCACGGCGCAGAGATTTTGAACTGCAATCGCCAGATCTATGGGGCGACAACAACGATCTAAGCGCACAACTTCAAATTCAATTGATCGGTTTTGAAACCAAATCTGTCCCATTTGTCCTTCTCAAAAGTCTCTACATAAAAAGCATGCTTTTCGAACTTTTTGGGGCTTATCCGGAGGGGGACGCAGTAGGTTCTACAAAGGGTTGTGTCACTACAAAATGCAGTGCATGACAAAAATCATCCAGAAACTAGGACATCATGGTTCGAATTTGTGCTTTGTGGGCGAAAGGAACTCTGAGCATGGATTCTTGAGCTTGGGTGAAACTTGACTATTGGACAAAAAGAGCAGGAATCTAGTAGAATGGGATACATTTAAATTTAGATTATGATTGGTAATCGCATGTAATCGCCAAACTAGGTGTGACACAAGCACGGCGCAGAGATTTTGAATTGCAATCGTCAGAGCTATGGGGCAACAAAAATGATCTAAGCGCACAACTTCAAATTCAATTGATCAGTTTTGAAACCAAATCTGTCCCATGTTTCCTTCTTCAAGTCTCTACATTGATTTTTTCGATTTTTTGGGGCTCACCTTACCACGAAATGATCGTGAGTCGAGAGCCAAAAATGGTCTGAGGGCCCAAGCCATATGTTAATGTGACCGAGCATGACTGGCAAAAGAGGGCTATAGGGTTTCCTGTATGACCCAACGCATCCCAAAATACATAACTACAAAATGCATTTCCGATTTTCAAGTGCTTTTTTGGAAAAATGAAAAGCCGCTACAAGATGCAGCGCATGCCCTCTTACTACAAAAACCAGTGCACGACTCCATTTTTTTTGCAAGAATTCTCCCCGTAACAGGGGATGGTATCCAGCACGTGTTCACCCTCTTAGGAGTGGAAATGGTAAGGGGGATACTAATGGCATATTTGGCCAAATTCCGAGCTCAAGTTGGTGGAAATCGCGGCCGCAATCACCGACGCCTGTCCCCGCGCCCCGCCTGCTTGAAGGCCAACCGTCTATTCACGTCCGATGCAGCAAGGTGGTGTTCGCGAGCTGCTAAAGCAAGGACACGATCAATGGAGCTACTGCGGCTGCGACTAAGGTTGTCCAAAACAAGCACCTGCCGCCAGGATTCTGGTTGGATGGACTGTCTCCACAGTCTCCACCTGCATTATTGCCCCAGCCATCCTATTATCTGGAAAGGCATTTATTTTGGCCGTTTTTCGTCTCTCAGATCGCAGTCAGCTTGAACTGCAAGGAACCATCACTTACATTGCGGGGTTCCCCCAATGAAGACGTGTTTCAGCAGAATACAACAAGAAATCTCCAATCATCTGGCACATTGCAGATTCCCGTTCTGGCCAAAAATGCCCGTGGAACATATATATATATATATCATATCAGATCATATCTGATAGCTAAATAAGGAGAACGAAATAGAACGGAGCAGGTTCAATCTCGAATTCTGGACTCAGCGCCTCGTATTCAGCCTTCAACAGCTCCAGAACTGTGTGAGAGCCGATGTATCCACAGCCCCCAGTCACAACCACTCGCACAGCATTGCACACCGACCTTCGGCCACGTGCGCGGCGGCAACAAATGGCAGATGCCCCCAGCATTGCCACGGATGCCCCAGCTCCGAAAGCACGGCCTGGCAAAACGCGGATCCGGTGCCAAGTTTAAAGAAAAACTCATCATTGCGGCAATAACACAGGGTACACCCAATGCCATGACACAAACTTTGGAAATCTTGCGCAATGTCCCAAGAAGATGGAAATGTGGGACCTCTCACATCAAAATGATCCACATGGACCAAACCCATGTTCTTTCCAAAATAGTCTTGAGAAGCACAATGACAACACAAGCAGTTCTCCGGCAGTTCTCCGATTTGCCTTTCACTTGTGGATCTGCCGCAGCTCGAGCTTTAGGTTTGGCAAGTGCAGGCTGCCAGACTTGACTTTGCCTGCACCAGCTCTGTCGATATTCGCAAGCCAACCACCACTACTATGACACTATGAGATCTGTGAGAACCACAATTCACCAGATTCCACCAGAAACAAATTAAAGCACAGAGAAAGCAAAGGCGAGAATCTGCTCAGTCTTTTTTTCGAAGTTTTGGCAGGCTTGAGACAATCTCTTTGTATCTGGGACTCCAGCACTGCACGCATCCCCAATGACATCATGATCATCATGATCGGTGACACCCGTACGCGTTTCTCCGCGCTTGATCCACATCAATACAGTTCGCAAATCAAGACACATAAGCAGACTACAAATCTATAAATCCGCAAGCCCGACACAACGAACAAGGTGAAAGACTGTGGTCCCACCCACCATGGCCCCACCGCAGGCAATGCGCACATGGCACGTTACCTATTTTCTCACAAAAAATCTGTCCATCTTCGCAAGTTCAACTGCCACCAGACTTCTTGGCCAATAAAACACTGGGTAATGAGCTCAATCTGTGCACTTGGCAAGCTGATGTGAAACCAGCTGCACCAAGCAATGTCTCCAATTCTTTCTGGGTCCGTTCCTGTCCGCCCGTCACGGCCAACAAATGAAGGTCGCACAGACCACCACTAGCACGGTCTTCAGGAAGCAGGAACCTGGTAGTGTGTTTGACATGTCTTTCAACATGTCTTGTAGCAGCTTGCACAAAGTAAGTAGAACTGCAGCATGACCGATTGAATACATTAAACTCACTCGTTCCACAAATACGAGGCCGAGAGGCTCAATGATCACAATTTGTCCGTTGGGTTTAAGAGCTCGGTGAACGGTCTTTAGAATACGCAGAGCTGCATCATCATAGAAATCATGTAAGATTCGGCCCATGAGAATGATGTCAGCTGGTGGCACCTTGCGGAATCAGGGTACGGCTTATCAAGCTACGACCTTTTGTCAGCCCCATGCAGCTTGTTGGTGAGAAGAACCAGCTCAGAGCCGGTTCAAAACCTTTGCCAATTTATGCTCATTAAACCATTAATTTCACGAATAGATGGTTTGAACACTGTTGAGACTTAGAACAAATTCTGAGATGATCTTCGGAAGTAGGACTGACACTGACAGAGCTATTTGGACCCTCAAGCTTTTATTCCTGAAGAATGCAACAAGATCAACAAGTCAGAAGCTCCAAATCCGCACGCATCCCCAAGCTGCCAGTGCCAGCCCGGGTGCCTCCTGGCTCCAATCACTTTGCAAATCTGTTGGGCAAAGCTCCAAGCCCTCGACAACGGTGACCTGACGACGATTTCAGAAGTTGTTGAATCCCTTGACCAGTGGCCAACCACATGGTTTGATGTTAACATATATCTAGGTAAAATATAATAATTCACTAACCTGAATTAAGGCCATTTGGGGATGATTCCCCTTACTAACCATGATTCCAGTGAGGTCGCAGTGAGGTCGTTATAATTTACCCAGATATATAAACATATATGAACCACGTTCTGACAAGCACAGGATACATGACCCACAGCATTCCACAGCTGTACCATGTTGTGCCAGGAAAGATTGGTGGTCACACCCACCTGTTCAAGAACTTGCGGAAAATCAAGCAGAATGACTTTCACCTTCAGGCAACGGGGTTTCTTGATCAAAACACTATGCAGAAAGGAGCGACAACGAAGACATGATGCCTTTAAGATGGCTCCAAAAGCTGATTTACGCGAAATCACAAGGAACAGGGACATATCTAGACGACAAGGGACAAGTTGTATACTTGCTACAGGCCTCGCCTTTGGATTTTCCTGTAAGATGAGCGTCCCCAGCGCGCCAGTGCCAGCTCCAACATCCAACACGACGTTTCCAGGGTCCAACTGCAGCAGCTTCGGAACCTCAAAGTAATCGTGGCGCGCATAGCTTCGCAACATGCGATGGTGCTTTTGACATCGATCCGGTGATGTGACCACCTGCCATGGAGCGAAACGCTTGACTCAAAAATCTCTTGGCACAGTGGGCATCGCGGATATTCCACCTCAACCACCAACCTGTTCTTTTCACCATCTCCTAAATGGTTATATCAGGTTTCCACCCTCTTGAACTACCCATTTGCGAGCCACAGACCTCCAAAAACACCTCTGGGCAACGATCCTCCCCACGAAGTCGTTGCGGCAACTTAGCCCACATGTCTCCAAGCTCACGGCCGTACTCGCGGGCAGCATCTGCCAGAGTCCACGGGTGTTCTGGCGCCGAATCAATAGTCTACAGCTGCCATTTGCAAGGGCCTTCATCAACCTCTGACCTCTAAGAGTTTTTGCAATTTGCACAATGGCATAAAAGCTGCTTGTGATAGCTCAAAATTGGGGGCAACTAGTTTCTGACAGCTCCGAACACATCCTGAATCAAATGGTCGAGCACTCTCACCCGCTTGACACTAGCAAACAAAATACCTACGAAGAAGTAGGACTGAGACCGGTTCCCCTCCAGGATTCCTCAACCCTTCCGGTCCCAGTCCTTCACAGAGCAATTGACCTCGCTTTGTGGCGATGAAGCCGCACTGGTCCAGTTCCACAACACCCAGCTCCATCAGCGCCTGCAGAAGCCGCTTCAGCCGCTCTGGGCGCAGCTGGGTCGCAGCTGCAACAAACTCAAGGCTTCCTGGAAGCGCCTCAAACCTGAAGCAGAGCCGGACATGCGGATATTGAGACACAAAGAGGCGCAGAACATCTTTAAGTGTTCCCGTAACAATCGAAAATGGCAAGCTACTAAGGTTCCAACGAGAAGCTAAGAGCAAGGCAGCACCATCTCCCTTTTTACACAATGCTAAGATGGTGCCTGTACGGCCGCTGCTTTATGTCTGTGACCTATGTCACTAGTGGTCTGTTAGACCACCTGCCACAACTTGGCAGAGAAATCAGTGGTGGCGTCATCAAAAACAACCCCACATCAAAGCAGCCGTACCCACCGGACTCCCACATGGGATCATGGGTGGGTTAGGTGGAAACGGGCAGGATGCTATCATTCCTTCAGGTCTACATTGACCAGTTTCAAAGAGAAGGAGTTTTCCAATCCTGCAAAATTTGTGGCAAAAGCTTAAAGGAAGCAAAAATTGAATCAAGCGAAAGTCTTTTTTTCCGGGGTGAAACCTACTGGCGCCGGGTGAGTCAGTTCGTCAGCCTATTGATTGTGATCACGTTTACAGATGGTTCGGTGCCAGTTGTGCTCCTCGGTCATAAAGCAAATGTACCAGCTGCATGAGAAAGGCTGCGGTGGGCATCTTTCTCGTATTCTGGTTCAGCAGGGCGAAGACGTTGCCCTTGTTGTCAGAGATCAGTGCAAGCTGGAGGCGGAGTAAAGTCGAGGAGCCCCGTTGGATTAGCAAGGCTGCTAAAACCAAGGTGCTAAGCATTTCCAAGGATGCGATTCTTCTGGTAGAATCACCATCCACAAAAGCCCATGGACATTCGTCCGGTTGAATTTCGAGTTGAAACCACCAGACAGCTGATTTGTCTGGGGCCTCCGTGTCAGAAATCCATCCTCCAATCCATGGGCGGCTCGTGTAGGCATCTCTCGTAGCACTGGCGTCGCTTGCACCCCACCAGTTTGAGACGCCCACATAGGGAGAAGGTTGTTTGTAGGGGACTGAGAAGATCATCTGTAGCAGCTTCGCAAAGAAGGTGACCAGCTTCGGGGGTTTCCCCGAGGTCTTACATGCCATCTTCCATGCCCAAAATGGTTGGAGGAAGGGTCGTGAAAGTGGACATACACTTGTCGCCCAGCTGATTCGTCCCAGGGCCTTCTCGATGGCCTTGGAAGTGAAAACTTCACCAGCTTGGAGTTGCCTCAATAGTTCCATGATAGTAATGTGTTTGTCTTCGGCCATGCGCACTACCAGGGATTGGGGGTTGACCACAAATCCCAACCAAGTATTGACTCCTGCGAGCACAGTCTTTTTCCAACCCAAGGGAACGCCCAGAGCCACATATGTTGCAAGCAAGGTAGTGGCCCAGGCTGTGGCTGTGCCCTGTCGGAGGATCCAGCAGAAGTCATCCACAAAGACAAAGCCCCAGTCCACCTGTGGGAAGATCATGTAGGTCAACCGGAGAAGTAGCGCAGCCACTCTTCCCCAATATAGTTGCGCTGAAGCCATGCCGTAGGTGCCTACCTTGTTGACCCACCATGCTTCAGGACCAAGTTGAGCTACCTGGTATTTCCAGTCGGGTTGAAGGACCTTGATCCTTGGTGATGTCCGCTTTGAGTAAGGTCCAGGCTTGATCCTTAGTCGGAGGAGTCCAGCCATCTCCCAGGACCTCCTCCCCGCAACCTGCTGGGGTGGAGGAACCCGGCTGGATGGCATGGAGTTAGTGGAGTGCCTGAATACAGTCCATGACTGTGGGGGCTGTTGTTCGTTCCGTGGTGTTTGCTTGGATATGGGTGCCCCATGATCCGTCAAAAATTGTCCGGACCTTGTCGGATTCTTGGATCCCTGCCATTGGTCCCGGACAGAGTTGGTTTGGAGTGCATTTGCAGGCCTCAGCTGCCTCTTGTTGGGTGAAGGGTCCCAGGACCATTCCCATTTTCTTTTCATCTTCAAAAGTGGCATTAATCTCATCAGTGAATTCTTTGGCTGATGGATAATTGTCCCTTCCTTGGAGGGGTGGGTAGTCTGGGAGCGGGTCTTCTTCCCCTCGGAGTTCTTCCTTGATGGGCCAAATGCCCGGAGATTGTAGGGTAGGTGAAGATACCCTCAGGGGTACGCCCTCACGCAGTGTGAGTGGGTATTCCCAATCTGGGTCCCCAAGGCGTTGCGCCAGGCTCGAAACCAGGTTCAAAAAGAAGGGCTGCCCTTCCGCAATTTCCATGTGGTCTTTCCCGTTTTGGCACTCCTGGGAAAGCCGCTCTCGGATCTTCGAGAGCAATGTGTCTGGGAAGGGGTGTGCCTTGTTGCCCTGCTGAGTATAGAATCTGTAAAGCCCTGCATCCAAGGTGCACAGAGGGCGGCCAAGTCTTTGGCTAAGGAAGGGCATTGGGACTTAGGGCGTTGTGGTGGGGGTGTCCTCCCCCACGAGGGTTTTCCTCCTCCATCTCTGAGTGGTCTGGTGCGAAAACCGAGCGGGTTGTCTTGGAGGCCCATGCTTAGTGAGTGTGCTCGTGTCACTGGTCTGTCTGATGGGCTCGGGTCGGAGCCCCATGGCTTCTGTCCTTGGGCAAAGTCTGATTCCAGAAGGGCTCTTGCCAATCCTTGCATCATGGGCCATGGATACCGACTGAGATCTGCCGATGATCTTCCTTTTGGCCTGGCATGTTCTGTATGGTTGCACCGTAGGTTTTGCCAGTGGAGCAAAGGGAGGTTTGTTGCCACTGTGGTTGGCTTGGGGGTGTGCTGTCCAAGCCAGCACTGGTCAAAATGAATCAAGGTCAGCCCAAGTGTCTGTAGCAAGTTGCGCAGCCAACTGATGGCCCAAATGCTGGAGCATTTTGCCGCTAGGTCATGCTGTTTTGCTCCCTCATGGGCAAGAACTATGATGTTCTCGCAACATGGCTTGGTGCAGGGAGGTGGGATCATCATCCCCGGCGTACAGCTTGAGTGCTGTGGGGTCATGGATCTCACCTTCCGGGAGGGGTGTTGGATTCCAGTGTAGCCTTTGTCTAAGGTGTGTTCGAATTTCCTTAGTCCGTGGACAAAGTAAGGTCAGGACCGATTGGGGTGTAACCTCAGCAGTCAAAGACGAGTAAGAGCCCGACTCTTCATTCGCTGTGGTCACATGGGTGTGGCTTGAGAGGTGGGGGGATGGGATTTCAGCAATTCCCCCGGGGGGGTGTGGTGTGGTGATTGGGTCAGGGGTCTGGACCGCTTCCAAGGGTGGTCCTGTTGTGGCGCGGAGACAGCCTCCCGCTTGTGACGGCCCCTGACAGACCAGCCCCCCTCTACAGGGGTACCTTCCACCCCTATCTGTGAGATTGGGGGACTCCCCGCCACCGGCTGGGGTCTTCCTCCTTCTCACTTATTAGGGCATTGGTCCGGTGGATGGTTTCCGTTGCAGGTGCAGCCATCCTTCATCACAGGGCATCCATGTGATCTGCCGCAGTTTCCAGGGCACTTGTTACGAAGGAGATGGTCTTTGCAGTACTGCAGCCCCCTCGGGGTGGCTGTGGCCCAGTTCTTGGGCCAATTGGCGTCTTTTCCCTTTGAAGTGCCCTTCCAGGACTTGCCTTTCTGGGACGGTTTGCCCTTGGACCATTGGTTCTGTGCCGGTGACCATGCCGGCTTGGTTTTGCCCTTGCCCTTTGTGGATGGTGTGTTCCCCTTAGAACCCTGTGTTCGGTCTTGTGGTTTTTGGAGCCTCTCATACACCTCTCTCTGCCAGAAGAGAGTGTCAGCCTTCTGGGCTGCCATGGCCTCTTTGACGGTGGATCCCTCATAGACCCTGTTGTGGATCTCGCGCCAAGCGTTTCTCTCAGCATACAGTAACACTGTCTCGCTGTGTGGTGGTTTGCGATCTGCAATGTCTTTTCCCCAGAAGAAACAATACCAGTCTTCCAAGTCTTGGAACTGGACATTGAACTGTGTGAATTGGGGGAAGGACGAGAGGCACATCAGCAATGTGTTCCTGTAGACCAAGTGTGCCCTTTTCAACTGCTCCCTGGTGGTCGGCACCTTTCTTTCTTCCGAGTGGGGCATTGTCCTCCGGGGAATAACACATCCCCAGTAATAACTCCCCATCCGATTGTACTGGTGCCAACCTCGGTTTAAGGAGGGCCCTTCGAAGGTAGGCTGGGGCCCTCACAAACGCCCTGCCAAAAGGAGTGGCCAAGCGCAACGGAGGCCCTTCTCCCGACATACAGGGTGGTTAGGAAGGGAATCACTGGAGCTTGAGCAAGAGTATGGGGGGGTCCCCTTGAGCCGCGGAGAGGAGGTAAAACAAAAGCAAAAAATGGGGATCCAGAGGGTCATCCAAAAGTTCTACAGCTTTCCAAGAAACCCACACTGTGTGAACGAGTGGGGTCTTGCCCCCTCTCCGCAAGTAATGCAATCATTGTCAAAAGTCACCGAACCGTCCATCAGGTGAGTCAGTCGGAGAGAGTTCCATCAACAAAGGTAATGCAAGGTCACAACAATCAGCATCTACCACACAAATTCACAAAACTCTCCGAAGCAAAAGAAACCAAAACCCCTTCAATTCCAGTAAGAGGCGAGGATCCATTCCACTCAATTTGCGGACAGCAGGACTTGGGAGAAAAGAGGAGGCCTACGTTCAGGACACTTGACACGAGCGACACGAGCTGCTTCTTTTCTGTCGCAATGGGCTGAGCCGGTACGGTCTCAGCAGTCTCGGTACAGCGCCCACAGGGCAAGATCTGGCCAGTGTCGCGAAGGTTCTGGAGCTAGACGCCAAGGGCTGTCCGGCTCCACCCCGCGTCCTGCCAAGCAGAACCACTCACTGGCTGCCCACTCGCTTCGCTGCCAGCTGCTGGATCTTCAAAAGGCCCTCGCGCTCCGGGTTGCTCAGGAGCACACTCCAAATCAAGTCGGAGACTCGGCCCAACCCATTTTGCTGAGAAGCGGATGCGTTCCTGGACCGGGTAGTCGAGGTCAAGCGCCTCGGATGGCACACATGGGCTCCATACGGAGGTAGTAGGCCATGCGGTCTTGGATCCAGCGACCGTACAACTGCACGACCCGGCTGCTGCCGGCCTTGGCTTTCCAAAAACCTTCGCAGAATTTGCAAGCAAAACCGCCCGCTTTGCGGACTCCCTGTTCCTTGAGAACGTATTCCCAGGGACTCACAGAACTGAGGACTAGGCCGCATTCCATTTTTCCCCAAAAACCGTGCAGCTCCCGGTGTCCAAAGTGTCGCTTTTTGGAATCTGGGGCCATGATGCTGCTCAGGTTCTCCAATGTGAGGGGGATGTTTCCCCTCGGCTTTCAAGTCTAGTCCGCCACCGGCTGGACCGAGCTCTCTGGCCTTGGAGATGAAACCCTCAGTCTCCTCCACGGAGTAGCCCAGCTTGGCATAGTAGGTCCTGGCCAGGTCCTCATCGTCCACCACATCGGCACACCAGATCACATTGGTGAGCGCCAGTTGACCTTGACTTCTACCATCGCCTCCTGGGTGCCGAACTGGGCTGCAAGCTTGGAGTAGACCAGCTCCTTGAATGCGCTGAGGGGGAGACTGATCCGTTCGTCACAAATCGCTCTCTCCCGCAAATGGGTCTTAAAGTCATGGATTGCTGCAGGGGGCAACTCCATGACACAGAGCGGCGTATGGGTGAGAAAGGATTGGGCAGCCAAGAATTTTCCCATTTCTTGGTAAAGGTGCCGCCATGAGTCCACATCCGATGGGAGTTTCTTCAGTCCCATTTCCTGGGCAAATGTTTTGACTTCCTTTCGAATGGCTGTGTGCCTTTGCAACTTGAGGCGGCCCTTCTCGGCGGAGTGGTGTCCCCGTGCCGGGGGGTCCATTGCAAGTGGCATGTTCTGCCAGATCGCGTAGATGTCCTTCAAATTGTTCTGGTGTGCCAACTTGTGGCACAGGCTTGGGAAAGACCAAGTTGAAACTGCTCTGTGCCAGTGCCAGCCGGCGTCTGCCGGTCCCGCTGCCCAGAACAAGTTCTGGATCATGTCCTGAGGGGGACGTAGGCCCTGGTTCACCTGGTCCTCCAGTTCCTCAGCAGTGAAGCGGGCAAACTGATGGAAGTCACCCGTGGGTCCATACGGTCTGGTGCACGACTCCAGGGGGCGCAGGTGTTCCTGTCTGCCTGACATGGCCCAACCCGGGATGTTGAGTTCATCCCACTTCTTCTGCCACTGACCACCCCAGACCCTGAGCTGGCCCTGGGAGTGCTGGTTGGGGGTCGTCCGTCTCTTCTTCCACGACTTGGGTGCGGAGAAGGACCCGCTGGTTGTTGGGGACCAGGTCCGAGTATGAAAGCTCAGGGTTGACCCGTGGGGGGCACCGAGAAATCTGATACGTTGGTGGAGGCTGCTGCCTTCATGTTGGTCTCACGCTCCTCATCAATGTGTTCCCCCTCTTTTGGTTGGATCTTCCAGTTGACCCCTTATGTCATCAATGTGGAGCTTCCAGATGACCCCATCCACTTCCTGGGACAGCCCCAGGTCCTGTGGCTTTGGGATGCGGTTCCCCCGCTTGCCACATGCCAAGCATGTGCCTGTCTCCGCAGGCTTCAGCCAGGGGGCTTTGCAATTCTCACAAATATAGTCTGAAAGCTCTGGTCCGACCTCCAGGGTGTGAATGGTGGTCGTGTCCCGTCTCTTGACATGTTCAGCCAACAGGATCTTCTCGTGCTGCAGCTTCTTGACTGCCAGGCCATAGCTCTCCAGGATGCGGTGGAAGGCCGCTGGGGTTAGGGCGTAACCCTTGTCAAAGATGGTCAAGAGGTCACGGAGATCACTCAGGGTGAAATCCCGAAGCATGTTGCGGAGATGCTGGGGGACCAGGGGGAGCTCCAGGTTGCCATTGGCGATGCGGTAGGTGTCGACCGTCACTTTCTCAAATTCCACGAGGGCCTTAGTGTCGGTCCCATGCCCTGGCCGCTGACAGCTGGCCCGGGTTGGGTACCTGTACCTTGGTCCACAGAGGAGTCCTTAGTGAGGATTCGTTGCATTGCCTGGGTAAGCTCAGTGAGTGACTTCTGAAGGTCCACCTTAGTTGCCGTCTGGAGCATCGTGAAGGAGCCAGGATTCACGCCCGAGAGGGTCAGGCTCGTTGCGTCCTCATTGTTCTTGTAGGTCTCAGCGACCTGTTCCGCCATCTGGTAATCCTCATTCGTGATCTCGGCGAGGTCTCCCACCAGTTGGAAACTAGATTCCGAAAGGAGTTCAGAGTCCACAGTGGAGGGTGGAGCATCCACCTCCATGGCTTCCGGCAGGGAAGCAGTGCGAAACACGCTTCAAATCTTTAGAGATCTGATGGTTCAAACTTGAGCCAAAATGGCCAAGCCATTTTGGCAATATGATTCCGACAACACATAGCTTGCATTCCGCAAGCTCCACGCAAGTACAAAGCAAAACAATTTGGGGCAATCTAATTATCATTCTGGGAACAAAAAAAGTAATGTCATGCTGACCATCCATGCAGAAAAGGAACAAGCCCAACTCCACTGCAGCACACAAAGTTTGTTTTCCAGAAACCTACCAAATCTGCCGAGACGGCCGCAAATGCATCCACTTCTCTTGCTGAGGCGATCTCAAAGACCGTCTCAGCCAGTTCATTGATAACTTGCCACGAACCGTTCCAGCACTGAACCCTGGCCTGGCCATTGTAGAAAGGCTCCACCGCTTGAAAGCGGCGATGGTACCTGAGATAAAGACACCGCAAAATGGTCACCTCTTCCACTTTCCCCTACCCGGGACCCGGAAAATTCGTAAATTTGGATTTCTAGGCAGAAGAAAGTCAATCCCACAATTCAGCGACTCACTGGCAGAAAAATGTTCTTGGGAAAGAAGTAGATAAGCGACATGTTACTTTGGATGACCCAGCTCGTCAATGTGCATCCAGCCATCCGAATCTCTTGCCCGCGCTAAGCCCTTGTGAAAGACATCCAAGTCCTGAAACCACTTTCCGTGGAGCAAGTTGCCGGCACGGTCTACATGAGTAGCTCTCCCATCTCTATGGACCACAGCTGAACCTTCACGGTAGTCCCCCGCATAGTTCCATCTTTCATGGTAAGCGGCTTGGCCCTCCAAGTTCAAATGAAAGTAGCTGCCATCTTGACTCCGCACCGGGCAAAACCCCCCTTGGTAGTTCCCGCACCAATCCTTGCTGAAAGAATCAAAGGGTTCTGAAATAAATCAAAGGAGAACGGTTTCTGTGCTTTGCGGTGTGCAAAATTGTTTCGCACCAATTTAAAAAGAATAAATAGACAAAAAACATCAAAAAACAATTATCTAAGTGCCAATGAAGGGTCAAATCTTTCAGGATACAACTCCTCGCCAGATATCACAATGTGATGACTATGGCCCTCAGTTTCAACTGCCGCGCGGCCCTGGTAAAACCCGAAGACCCTCGAAAAGCTCTGCGCATATGCCCTTGTGCCATCAGGGCCAATATGCCACGCCGTATTGCCACGACGCACAGGTGCCAAGCCTGGCGGGTGAAATGGAAGAACTTCATCAAAGGAGTCATCATAGAGCGGCTGCGAATTTCCAGCCTCATCCACAACAACATGATGTGTCCTGCTCTTCGACACTCTTGATTGCTGCCACGACTTTGTGTCTGCACCAGTTGCAATGCATCTCCTAACCAAAGCAGTGCAAGTCGTAGTTCCAGCCCCGAAAAGAAACTGCCCAGACCAGGTCCGGCGAAACTCCATGCCTTGAGATTTGGTGGCACAAGGTTTCCTCACTGACAAGGGAACATCAATCTTTGGAAGGCAAGCAGGTCGCATGCTAATGCAAGTGCCTTACCAACTTAAAATCAAAGCTGCGGACGAATGCAAGAGCATGTGTTCAATTCATTCCTGCCTTGCGCTTTCCAGTGTTTGTTTTCTCATGTTTTCACAAAGACATTCAAAACTAAAAGCACCAGGGCTGCGAAGATTTTTACCCGCCGCCAGAAGATCTCTTGAGAAGCGCCACTCGAATTGGCTCGAATGAAGTTTCCAAGCGAATTCTGTTCGGGCTGCAGATTGAGGTCAAACTGTTTAGGGTCTGTGAGTTTGACGCCAGCGGCAATACCCAATGAAGCGAAGAGCTGCACCCACCACAATGCCTGACCCAAATAGGCACATCACACTATGGATTGATGGACTAAACACGCCCAAGCGATACAGGAGGAAGGCCGATCCATAGACGCCCAAATTGGTGCAAACGGAGATCCAAGCCAGCTGGTTTGTTAGCCCAAGGCCATAGAAGATTGAATCCAAGAGGCCAGCAAACATATAGACAAAATAGAATGGTAGAAGCCAGTTGGCGATTTCCAGTGCCATCTGCGGCTTTTCCACATTCAAAACCACTTGAAAGAAGACTTTCCACCCAGGCAGTGTCACCAGCCAGACAACAAAAAGCAGCAGTGAGAGCAGCAAGTACGCTGGTAAGATCTGTTTATGTGCTGCTGGCAACCTGGCCCGAATTGAAACCTCTTGTTTCAGCAGTTCAGCCAAGGGCAGAAATAGTAGCAGGAGCCAGTTCCAAATGAAGCTATTGGCTATCCAATAGTTGCCAGACTGGTGCAAGACATTCACCATTCTGGCCACAAAAATCACATAGCTCAGATTTCGAATCAGGGATGCAAGCGCGGCCCAGCGGCCCACCCGCCACCACGAAAGAAGCCATGTCCAAGTTAAAGACTCCTGTTCTGCTGCAGGAAGGTATTGGTAGGCCAGCATCAAAAGAAGTGCGTAGGTGCCTCGGGCAATGACAACCCGCATCAGATGCACACTCCCGTACCCAGAAAGCGCAACGGCAAATACATGTCCTATGTTAATTAATGCCTATACTATCGTGCCAACCGAAACCCTCAAAAAAACAAGTGGTGACAGGATTGGCCCAAGAGGCCCCACAAATCAAGAACGCTCACCACTTGGGACATCTTGGGACATCTTGGGACTGTATTTCTGATGTCTTCCACAACAAACGTGCCAGGATATGCCAGGATACAAATGTTGGACCAGGCCACTCCGATGACTCCAACACGGAGTGAGCCAGGCAGATCACTAACAAAGATATAATCGAAGAACACGGTCAGCAGGGCTTGCAAGAGGGTCATCAACAAAATCACTTTGTCACGCTTCAGCAGTACGAAAATCACATGGGTGAAGCGCTCTAAGCCCTGAATCACTGCAGCGACCATCTCCCAGCGGATGTATTTCACTGTATCATCCCGCAGGTCGTGCCGAGAAGCCTCAATCTTAGACTCTGGAAGTTGCAGTGACGCTTCAAGCACTTACTGTCTTCGGTTCATCATCAACTATGACAGTTCTGATGGTGCGTCTGCTACTTTGAATCTGCTTTCTTGCGTTACAATAAAAGAGGCCGGCACCATGCCATCAACCAAAGGTTCGGCAAACACCATGACAATAGTGGAGAAGCTGCCATAAGAAACCAAAGTCACCAAGAGCCCTGTTCGCACCTCATGATGGACAGGAGTCAATGCACTTAGCACATGACTTGGGAAACCCCTAGCACTACTTCCTCGAATCACCAAAAATGAATAAAATAAAAACACGGTTTCATGCTTGTCCAATGTCGTATTATGCTCGCAACAAGCAACTCTTTCTGCCGAGCTCAAGACCTTGTTCCAGGTGGCAACGCCTTGACCGATTGTTTCCTTGGCACACGCAACCTTCACATCAGTTCCTCTGATTCCTCTGCACTGACTTCAAAACGCTTCAAAACAAACTCTGACTTCAAGTCATCTAAGGCTTCTAAGGCTTCTAAGGCTTCTAAGGCTCTCCAATACAGGGATACAAAGGAACCTGAGCCACCGCAGCTCAGGGCGGACCACCAAAACTGGGCCCTAAACTCCACGACTGCTGCTCTGTTTCGGTTCATCAACCCAACGAGCTGACAAGAAGCAATCAATGCCTCCTCCATGACCTTCAAAATATGGGGATCGGCAGTCATTGGGATGTTCATCAAGTTGGGATAAAACCGAATCAGCGAACTGCTGCTGAGTATCATGCTTGTCATCGAGTCATAAAACCCCGAACCCCCTTGAAGGCTGCTTTCTGACATGGCACTGAACCAGCCGTGTCCTGCCTGCAGAATCGTGCCCACCCAGAGAAGCTGCGAGGCAATATCCACACCGCTGGCCTGTAATGCGCCCTTTGAAACAAGTTTAGCAAAGCGCTTGAAGGAAAACAAACAATTGTATGGATCCACTTGGTGATCTTGGTGGCATTCAGACTTTGGCCTGAGGCATCTGTCCAAGAAAGTAGATCCTAGTGGTGGTGTAGACCTTGGCCAAGCAAAAAAAACAAAACACTCAGCACAGCCGGCACGGGCACCGTTGCATCAACTGCGGTCAAAAGGCTGTTGGCATGGCAGCTTTCAGCAGCAGCGCCGCATACAGCCGCCAGTTCAAGGCGCGAAAAGATGGAACCACACACCCACTCCTCCTGCGCGACAACATCCACTTCAGACTGCATGATAAGAGGACCTGAGAAAGACATGGCATCCTTCCAAGCCAACAAAAGATGTTCGGCCATCGTTGCACCCTGACCTTTGGCCATTTGCCACGCGGTGGCCCCAGACAGCTCCGAGGATTGCCACAGATGCCCCAGTTCTGCAGGAATGGCCTATCAAGTGATGGATCTGGTGCCAACTAAGAAAGCTCATCCGGGCGGTTCCAACAAATCAAAACTCATCAAAATCAAATGATCCAAATGAACTGCCGATCATGACAAATCGGTCAGTTCTCCAGCAGCGTTTCGTCACCAGTCGACTTTGCCTTTTGTTTGTGGATCTGCTGCAACTCGAGGCATCGGTTTTGCAAACGCAGGCTGCAGCTGCCACGGCTGATACCTATGCGAGCACTGTCAATGAGTCAATGGCACTTTGCAAGCCACCCCAACTGTAGGATACGATAAGCACAATGATCTACCAAATGCCGCAACTCACACAGATCAACACGCGAAGAACCCAGAGGTGAGGATGGCAAATATCTGCAAAGAAATTTCTGGGAAGATCGAAAAAACATTCCCTTTGAACCTGAGACTCGAACACTGCACGCGCGCCCAATGACATCATTGTGGGTGCGACCGTATGACGCCGCACTTGATCCACATATTGTCACAATTATTATTCACATCCATTTGAGTTGCAAACACAATTTCCCAAATCAACATGACCGAAAAAATCTGAAAGTCCATAAGTCGATAAGCTGCCACTTTCTTTTCCCGCCAGAAGATCTCTTGAGAAGCGCCACTCGAATTGGCTCGAATGAAGTTTCCAAGCGAATTCTGTTCGGGCTGCAGATTGAGGTCAAACTGTTTAGGGTCTGTGAGTTTGACGCCAGCGGCAATACCCAATGAAGCGAAGAGCTGCACCCACCACAATGCCTGACCCAAATAGGCACATCACACTATGGATTGATGGACTAAACACGCCCAAGCGATACAGGAGGAAGGCCGATCCATAGACGCCCAAATTGGTGCAAACGGAGATCCAAGCCAGCTGGTTTGTTAGCCCAAGGCCATAGAAGATTGAATCCAAGAGGCCAGCAAACATATAGACAAAATAGAATGGTAGAAGCCAGTTGGCGATTTCCAGTGCCATCTGCGGCTTTTCCACATTCAAAACCACTTGAAAGAAGACTTTCCACCCAGGCAGTGTCACCAGCCAGACAACAAAAAGCAGCAGTGAGAGCAGCAAGTACGCTGGTAAGATCTGTTTATGTGCTGCCGGCAACCTGGCCCGAATTGAAACCTCTTGTTTCAGCAGTTCAGCCAAGGGCAGAAATAGTAGCAGGAGCCAGTTCCAAATGAAGCTATTGGCTATCCAATAGTTGCCAGACTGGTGCAAGACATTCACCATTCTGGCCACAAAAATCACATAGCTCAGATTTCGAATCAGGGATGCAAGCGCGGCCCAGCGGCCCACCCGCCACCACGAAAGAAGCCATGTCCAAGTTAAAGACTCCTGTTCTGCTGCAGGAAGGTATTGGTAGGCCAGCATCAAAAGAAGTGCGTAGGTGCCTCGGGCAATGACAACCCGCATCAGATGCACACTCCCGTACCCAGAAAGCGCAACGGCAAATATATGTCCTATGTTAATTAATGCCTATACTATCGTGCCAACCGAAACCCTCAAAAAAAAAAGTGGTGACAGGATTGGCCCAAGAGGCCCCACAAATCAAGAACGCTCACCACTTGGGACATCTTGGGACATCTTGGGACTGTATTTCTGATGTCTTCCACAACAAACGTGCCAGGATATGCCAGGATACAAATGTTGGACCAGGCCACTCCGATGACTCCAACACGGAGTGAGCCAGGCAGATCACTAACAAAGATATAATCGAAGAACACGGTCAGCAGGGCTTGCAAGAGGGTCATCAACAAAATCACTTTGTCACGCTTCAGCAGTACGAAAATCACATGGGTGAAGCGCTCTAAGCCCTGAATCACTGCAGCGACCATCTCCCAGCGGATGTATTTCACTGTATCATCCCGCAGGTCGTGCCGAGAAGCCTCAATCTTAGACTCTGGAAGTTGCAGTGACGCTTCAAGCACTTACTGTCTTCGGTTCATCATCAACTATGACAGTTCTGATGGTGCGTCTGCTACTTTGAATCTGCTTTCTTGCGTTACAATAAAAGAGGCCGGCACCATGCCATCAACCAAAGGTTCGGCAAACACCATGACAATAGTGGAGAAGCTGCCATAAAAAACCAAAGTCACCAAGAGCCCTGTTCGCACCTCATGATGGACAGGAGTCAATGCACTTAGCACATGACTTGGGAAACCCCTAGCACTACTTCCTCGAATCACCAAAAATGAATAAAATAAAAACACGGTTTCATGCTTGTCCAATGTCGTATTATGCTCGCAACAAGCAACTCTTTCTGCCGAGCTCAAGACCTTGTTCCAGGTGGCAACGCCTTGACCGATTGTTTCCTTGGCACACGCAACCTTCACATCAGTTCCTCTGATTCCTCTGCACTGACTTCAAAACGCTTCAAAACAAACTCTGACTTCAAGTCATCTAAGGCTTCTAAGGCTTCTAAGGCTCTCCAATACAGGGATACAAAGGAACCTGAGCCACCGCAGCTCAGGGCGGACCACCAAAACTGGGCCCTAAACTCCACGACTGCTGCTCTGTTTCGGTTCATCAACCCAACGAGCTGACAAGAAGCAATCAATGCCTCCTCCATGACCTTCAAAATATGGGGATCGGCAGTCATTGGGATGTTCATCAAGTTGGGATAAAACCGAATCAGCGAACTGCTGCTGAGTATCATGCTTGTCATCGAGTCATAAAACCCCGAACCCCCTTGAAGGCTGCTTTCTGACATGGCACTGAACCAGCCGTGTCCTGCCTGCAGAATCGTGCCCACCCAGAGAAGCTGCGAGGCAATATCCACACCGCTGGCCTGTAATGCGCCCTTTGAAACAAGTTTAGCAAAGCGCTTGAAGGAAAATGTATTTTACCAGGTCAGCCAACAATATAGTACAATTACTATATGGGGGCGCAACAAACCGGTAAGCACTCAGCTCTTTTGAACCAACGCTACAGAGTAGATCGATGATATATACACTACATGGTTTTACTGCAGGAGTTTTTACACCCCCCTCGGGCGAGCAGGGACGACTGCGGAGAACGAATAACCCAGAAGAGCATACCCTCGCGGGTAGCCAAATTTCTTTAGTTGGTTTTGATCATTTTTATGCAGTCTTTCAAAGGTCCCTTTAAAAAGCTCAAGCCCGTAAAACCCAGCGCAGCTTTGCAAGGAAGGCACATTACCATGCCGCATCTTGCGCTATGCTACAAAAGAAAATCATCGTCTACCTGCGGTTCCAATAGATCCACCGGCCGCCGGCCTCGTCACGGTAATACCAAGCCCCACGCCAGAAACTCCATTCTCGGCGTGCACCATAGTGATCACGATTCCAACTCCAGGAGGCATCCGGGCGACCGGAGCTTGCAGCCTTTGATGTGACTCCTTTGCTTGCTGCTTTTGCAGTGGGCGGTGTCTCAGGCTCCAAGAATGGTCGCGCTCCTGCTTTGGGTGTTGGTGGTTCGGGTGCAAGAAATGGTGCATTGTTGGGGTCAACTGGGGCATCAGCGTGCGAGGCATCTGCGCGAGCAGAGCTTGAGGCGGCAGTGTCATCATGTGTGGTGACGGATGCATCAGCTTCGGCTTTGCGTTTTCGCTCAGTGGTGGGCGCGACCGTGGGGTCGGCCTTATGACCTCCAGGACCTCCAGCCTTTGCAGCGGCGCTCTGCTTCTCTTTGCGTTCAAGGTTTCCCCGAACCAATGGAAGATTTTCCTCATACACCTTTTCGAGGAATTCAAGAGTGCCATCAAAAGGAACTTGGACAGTGCCCTTCCAGGTCAAAAGGCCACGGAATGCGCCACGACGACCGATGTAGCTGACATATTCATCCTCTGTAAAAATGTGGCGGCCGAACATGAATCCCCAGACCTTCTTCCATGTTTTGCGGAACTCAACTGGGAAACCATCAACACCTCGAGGCTGGGACATGAAAATCAACTTAGATAAGCAGTTTTCATTTTGGGCATTGGCGGCGACGCCAGCCGAGATCTGAGCTTTGGTCCTTGGGGGATCGGGGAGGTTGCCATATGCGAACATGTCGTCGAATATGCAGTCCTGCAGGTCCTTCCCCTCACCGTGGATGCGGTCGCAAAAAGTGACGTCGCTGGAGTATCTGTCTTCCACGTCCTCGTAGCCCAGCGCTTTTGCACGTCGATGCCTGTCGCGGCAGTCTTTGAGGACTGCTGATTCCACGGATGTGATTCCCCTGGGGCCCAGTTCCCGGCGAAGCAGATTGGCTTGCTCATCCGTCAAGGCTGTCAGCAAGCTTCCGCTCATTTTCCCAAACATTCCGAACCCGGCGAGACTTTGCATTCGCCGTTCAAGGATGCGTGTCCTCCTGTTGGGTTTGTCGGCCTCTTTTGTATCGCCACTTTCGTCCACTGGGAGTGGTTCATATCCACATGTGGTGCATGTCACTTGGCCACTGACGTACTCAACCTGGCAGAGGGGGCAGGAGCCCATGAAAGGTTCGCAGTACTTGGGTGCAATGTAAACACGGCGCGTCCTTGCGGGCGGCTGGTCAACTTGCATTGGGGCAGTGGCTGCATCATCATCAGTGGACTTGGCATCGGGTCGCCCCGTGCTGGTGTCATCCATTGGGTCGTCATTTGCATCATCTCGGGCAGTCAGGGTGACCGCTTTGGATTTCGGTGCTGAGGCTGATTCCGCGCCTGTCCATGAGCTGGGCTCGAGATTGCTCTCGGCGCGGGTCCAAAGCACCTGTCCTTCTTCTGAGATGCTGACCAGAAACTGCGGTGGAATGCGTTCTGAACACAAAATACCATCCATTTCTGTGCGACTAAAGATGACACCAGCTTCAACTGCTTGCCGCATTGCGATTTTGACTTCGATTGGACATTTTGCTCTTAATCCAGATCGATACCCCTGTGTGCCGATACAGTGTTCTGCCATGTAGATATGAGCACGGCCACTGTTGACTGTGTCACCGCCACCTGGGATCAGGCCGTTCTGTGCGATGCTCTTCCAGCTGCTTCTCATCGTGCGATGGAAGACAACCTCAGGGACCTCAGTCATGGCACACAAGGGCACGCCAGTGAAGGCGGCTTTTCGCTCGGGGGATACTTGGTTTGAGCAATACACCATGGTTGAATTGGCATAAAGACCCCCTGCGGTTTTCAAGGCAGCTTCGGAGTGACCCTGAATTGCACGGATTTTCACAGGATAATACGGCATGCCTAGGCCATTGTCGACAGGAAAATGGGAGATCTTTGCACACAAGAATTGGAACCTACTCTTGCCATGCTTGTCGATCTTCATTGCGGTGCCAAACAGGTTTGCGACAGTGATGAAAACATCTGGGGGCACTTCCTTGCGGAAGGCTTTGGCAAAATCCTCCAAGTCAATCCAAAGGTCTTTGTCCATTGGCACCTTGGCACAGGATCCATGCCCCCTGCAAACTTTGTTGACACGAGTTGCAAAATCAGAAAATTTCTTGTCGACACGAGTCTG